ATCAACATAAAACCCCACAGAACTAACCATTTCCAAACAAATAACTAATGAAGATGAAAATCTTCAGAAAGTTCAATTTTTGCAGGTACAAACCAAGCATGCTAAGCTTCTACTCCTCTTTTCCTTAACTTACAAAGAAATCCTAAGACAACAAGTTGAGCTCTTCTCTGATAATCTCAAAGACTTTATCCTTGAAGAGATTAAGTCTGATAGTTTCAAAGAATGAGTTGATATCCAAAACTACCTCAAAAATAACAGTCCACCCAAAGGAACCCGATATAACTATTTTTTTCTACGATTTATACAAACAGGCACCCAGATACCTATGTCCGTTTTCTTATTAGATGTAAATCCTATTTTCTTTATTCCTTTTGAAGTAACCAGAAAAACCCTTTTCTCTACAAAAACAACCATCTGTTATCTAAGTAAACTGTTAGAATTATGAATGATCTACAGTATCACTATACCCAAGGATACGCCCTTAGAATATCTAAATTCTTTGTGTAATTTTCCCAACCGTTTAAACCAAGCCATTACTTTCGAATAGAAAATAACCCAAAATTTCATGCCAGAAAGTCTAATTCTCCTTCAAATCTACAGTACTCCCCCAGAATGGGTAAAAGATAGAGCTATAATTTTGGGACAGCATCAAGTTTATATTCATTCTGATCCATCTGAAGTCAAGCGTCTAACACGACATGTTGATTTCGCAAATAACTTTCGTGTTGAAATTGACCCTACTACCCTTAACCATTTGGTGTACTATAAAGCTTATCAACAAATTAACCCATGCTACAATCCTGGTTTCAGACTCTACGATCATAATATCAATATGGAAATTTTTGTTAAGGCAAGAATTCCTCATGTCATTAAGTCGTCTCCCGAGATTGAGATATCCCCAGAAATTGAAGATATAATAAATGAAGAAAAGATGTTGTTAGAACAGCTTGAGCTGGCCTACAAAAATGAAGAAACTAGCTCACCAGACAGCATTGATGCATATCTGGCTCGCATACACAGAGGAGATATCTCACCAGTTAGCCCAACCGACAGAAATTTGGATAATATGCACGAATTTTGAGGAAAAGCAGATTCTCCATAGTCTAAATAAAGGCAACTTCAGCATCCAAGAAAAAGTAGATCCTCAATAGTGTACAGTTAAAGGCATATCCACCGAAAGCAGATCTCAACAGCAAAAGCAGAAATAATTCTCCAGAAAATGACATCAACAGTTCAGCAATAATTTAGGTCATCTTATCTCTAAAGCATCTTCAATCTCAACCATCCATGAAATATTTTCAAACTCAACCGCTGATTCATCCCTCTCTTCTGCTATAAAAAGGAGCCTCTCTGCTCAAGTAAAGATCATCGAGTTTTTAGAGCCATCAAGTCTCGAACCTTCAACAATCCAGTCTTCAGTTACCAGTGTGTTTTTTTTTTTTTTTTTTGTGACTTCCTTCAGTGTATATTTCCTTTGTAACATATAGTGTGAGAGTGTATCCATGTATAAATAGTGTGTATCCATGTATATATTTTTCATGAAATAAATCATCCAGTTTGCTCCTGTTAAACAAATTTCTTTTTCTTATTTAGTATTTTCAGTACTTTCGGGTAAAAGACTTCTGTCGACCAATAGATTAAATATATAGATTTTATTTAGCCAGACAGTGTAGATCCTAGAATTTTCTTGAATCTAACCAGTACAAGTAGCCTTAGTTTTAATTTATCAATTTCTTCTGTGAGTTGACTCGAACTGTTGACTTGTTGGCCCGTTCTTTGCCGGTGTTCAGACGTTTCTACAGGGTGTTATCAAAGTGTTATCAGGTTCGGCAGTCATTTCTGTGATTTAATTGTTAAATTGATTCTATGTTATTTTGCATGCTTCTATCCGGTTGAATCCATCTCAATTTTGGTATCAGAGGTATACTGTTTCGTTAAATTTAATTTATATATGCGATCTTTTGTCTAAAGAAGTCTATAAGTCTTTATTAAGCTACTGTGTAATTTTAATTTACCGTGAAAAATTAAAAAGAAAAGAAAAAATATTAAATATTTTGTTCAAAGATATTGCTGTACTTTTATTTCATGATCTAAGGCTTTTGTTATATTAAAATATTACTTTGGGTCATTTTAGTAATATAAGTTCTTTTATGATATAAAGCATAAAGTGGAATCTATTTTAGAGAAATATTCTCTAAGTCAATCCTTTTATTGAAAATCAAGACTTTGTTTTCATTTTAAAGTAACATTTGTGCCTTAAACCTATGTATTAGTAATAATCCCTTAAAATATTCCTCCTGTTTCTAATATCACATGACGGCATATCTGAATAGTATCAAATCTTTACATTCATTGTATCAACAACCAAAAATATAATATCACCTTAATAAATGCATTTAGCTAAAAGTTAAAAAAGTATAAAGATTCTCAGTTGTGTCAATTTGCTAATAATGGATGCTTTGTTTATTAGTACAATGGTTGTTGCTGCCTTTGTTTAAATAGAAAGTTTGTTGCTTTCTTAGTCAATAAGCATCAACCATTTGTGTGTACATCGTGCATGTATATAGTAAATATTAACTTATACAGTATTTTTATTTTTTTATTTTTGTCTTGAGTTTTGACAATTAATTTTCATCACTTTAAGAAACTCAACTCTCGCTACTTTCTAATTTGAAAGGATAAGAAATACCACCAAGTCTTAATATATAGTTCACAATTAATTAATTAGGTTATAAATAAAAGTATGAAGAATCGTATTGCCTGTGTGATTGAATTGCTCACCGTGTTAATGTTTGAACCTTGTATTTTCATTCCCTCTAATCACTAACTCCTAACATTCTTACCCAAAAAAATAAAATAAAAAAGTAAATAGTTTCAGACATTCAGCAGCATTATATATACAAGCCTCATTGTTTTACTTTTAAAACACCTATTTCTTTCTCTTGTTTGAAAATGTTTGCCAACAATTTTTTGACATCAACTACGACTTCAGCATCCCACAGTTCAAGTGGAGTAAAATTTACGCAACCACCTCTAAATTATTTATATCTCCAACTCCAATCCTTCTTTATGAACTTAAATGGGTGTCTTGCATGTATAATTATTCGAGTATAGACAATGTAACATTTTAACTCAATTTCTTTAAATCCACTTTGAGAAATATATGTTATTCTTACCTTTATGAAAATCTAACAGAAAAATATAACATTTTAGCTCAGCTAGTTTATTTATTTATTTAATATTTTTTAATAGAATTTGTCATTAATAAGTGACAACTAAAAATATTAATATATACTATTGTTGTCGGGGTTCTTGTCATCCAGGTCTTTCGATATTTTAGTTTTCCCTACTTCCCAATACTCCAAAGATGAGCCGATGGAGATTGATATATAATTATAAATATATTTTTTTAAACATCATTTAACGAAAATAATTGACAAGGATAGATAGTTCATGTATTTTTTTTTAATTAAATATGATGACACATTAGTGTAATTTTTCTTTATCTCTCATGAATTCATATAATGAATATTATTGCAGTAAGAACTATTGTAACAATGAACTTATATTTTAATTTGACAAGATTTGAACTTTTGGAAGTGACTTGAAAAGTTCAAATTGAAAAATTTCTCTAAGTTTTGAGTAGACACAAGTTATATTAATTTATTTCTAAAATTATAATTATTGGGGCAAATAAATAAGTGTTTTGAAAAGTTTTGGGGGCCACTTAGAATTTTATATGAGTTTTGGGGTCAAAAGTTAGGTTCATTTACAAAAACAAAAAAAAAAAAAAAAAAATTTGGAGGCATTAAAAAGAAATTTGGAAATTTTGGGGGATCCAATTTTGCCCCTTATTATAGTCGTTTTGGATCATTTAGTCCACGTTGGTTTTTTAATAAACTTTCCTCCACGCACCAAAAAAGAAAAAGAAAAAAAGAAACAAAAATGAAAATTGTTACAATTCCATTGGCTATAAATACCCATGCCATCATCTCCCTCTATTTCATGACAACTATTCCTCTTTATCGGAGTTTTTCACTGTTTGTCTCCTTCCACTTCTGCCGTCAGCCTTTCCCATCTCTTCGTTTTTTTGGTATGTATGCATTTTCCATCCTTTTGGTTATTACATATATATATGCACCCTTTTCATTTCTATTTTTGTTTTATTTCTCTGTATTCATCCTCAAAAAGTTATCAGGAGCAATTTTTTGGCCAGATATGAGTAAATGTTCTTAAATCTTAATATGCACGTAGCAATAGAAAAAAAGAAAATAACTTCTCTATATATCTATACTATTCTTGAGTACATTCTCATACTTCATTTCACAACCCAATTCGTACAAGAAAAATGTCGTGGATAATGAGAGTATGTTTAATTTAAAGTGTTTTTTTTTTTTTTTTTTGAGGTTGTCTATTGAAAATTTTATACTATATACCAAAAAATGACACAACTGACCGAGTATAAAAAAAGTTGTGATATGCTACAAGTGCTGAATGTGAAATAGTGCCGACGCACTCTCACATTTGGTAATCGACCTTTTGTCCCCAAATTTTTATTCCATATAAAGGCCGGGAGAACTGACCTCATTAGCAGTTCTACCTATGCACATCCTTAAATACTTCACTCTTGGTTTTTTTGGTATCAGGTTTATTAATTAAGGATTCATATTTCTCATCAAAGAATTATGTCTTTCTGATCCGAAGGGGTTGGCTCAATTGGATATATATGTCACTTAGTCTTGGTGTCTTATGAAGTATTATATTTGAGGTTCGACTCTCCTCTTAGAAGAAAACAATTCATTTTGCATGCCTCAAGGGAGTGTTAGGAAAACATTAAAATTATGCGTTTCCGCTTTTTCTTGAATTTCATACTTACATATACTAATAAAGATATATATATATATATATATATATATATATATATATATATCTTTTTTTGATCTAATTACTTTTTCATGCAAACTTGAAGTACTACAGTTGTCCAGAACTTTGAGGACTCCATGGCGAATGGGCAAATAGTTACTTTCGGAACATATGGTGGTCCAGGAGGAAAATCATGGGATGACGGAACCTATAACACAATAAGGGAATTAATTATATACTCGGCATGGGATATTGATTCCATCCAAGTTATCTACGATGTTGAAGGAAAACCAGTATCAGGAGAAAGGCATGGTGGTGACGGCGGAAATGAAAATAGGGTAATATATATATATATATATATATGCAATTTGATTTTCTTAATCTTATTTGATATAGTATTTGATTTTGTATACATTTTTCATGCCCCTCATTGTTTTGTGAAAGCTAGCTAGACATATATATATATATATATATATATATATATATTACGAAGAAAGAAAAAAAGAGAGAAGAAAAAGGGAATTAAACACATTGGGTAAAGCGATTTAACAAGTGTAATAATTATGCCACATTAGCATTTCAAAATTCTAAGTCTTCGACTGTTTTTTTTGGGGAAGGTTTCAAGTCTTCAAGTTGCATTCACATCACACTGATTAAAGTTTTATCAATTAATAAAATCCTCTTCTTTTTGAAACCTAAACAAATGTACTTAAACAACATTATAATTTTAATTTATTAATTATTGCTACCGTAATTTTTTCATTTTTTATTTCACTTGTTGCTACTGCAGGTTATTCTAATTATTGAACATATATATGTTTGTACCATCTTAAAAACAAGATTCAAATCATATGTAATATTAACAAAAATGATATGTAAATATTTTAGAACTCCACAAACCACATTATGCAGCATACAACAAAAGATGTTTTTTGACCAATTTATGTCTTGCAAGTAGTGAACCAGATTCTAATCTCTGTTTTAACCAGGTTTTGTAGTGTGTTATGAGAAAACACCTAAAAGGCTAAACAAAGAGTTTGCTTGAGAAAAGATTGTGGGTTTTAAACCTTGTAATCTCTATTTTTTTTCCCCACATATTAAAATCTTTTTGCTGATCTTCAATGTGAACATTACATTTTTCTGTCATTTTTTATTGTCTTTGTGGTTTATCTGTGTTTGTTGTGATACCTAACAGGTGAAATTGGATTATCCTTCCGAGTACCTCGTTTCAATATCAGGGTACTATGGGTACAATTCTAGTAAAATTTTTATTGTGAGATCTCTTACATTACAAAGCAATGTAAAACAATATGGACCATATGGTACCAAAAACGGAACTCCTTTTATATCCCCGCTAACTGTTGGCAAGATTGTTGGATTCTTTGGAAGGGAGAGTTCTCGTTTGGATTCAATTGGAATATACAACCAGCCATTCCACGCTACAACACCTATGGGTCCATTTGGAGGTGATGGTGGAAAACTGTGGGATGACGGAACCTACAACAGCATGGTAAGGCAAATAATTATAAACTCGGGATGGAATATTGATTCCATCCAAGTTGACTATGTTGATATTGAAGGAAAGTCAATATCAGGAAAAAGGCATGGTGGTGATGGCGGAACAGCACATACGGTAATATATATATATATATATATATATATATATATATATATTCAATTTGACTTTTAAATCTACAACTCAATCTCAAATTTATTTGATTCTACCCACCGGAAAAAATAAATATATATATTTGATTCTACATTTGCCATGCCTCTCATGTTTTGTGAATGCGAACCATGCTAGACAACATAACATCTTAATATATCTATATATATAAATATATATATAGTATGGACCATATCACATTATATGTTATGAAGGAAAAATAAATAAATAAATAACTAAATTACATTCATGAATAAAACGATTTAAAAACAAATCTAATATTTAAGCCACAATAGCATGTCAAATTTCAAATCTTCAAGTGACATTCACATCACAGTACTGATGAACGTTATATCAATTGATTAGATCATCTTTCAGTCAATTTCCCGTGGAAATCGAAAGCATCAAGTGTTCCAGGACCCCTTCACACTAAATTACTAAACTAAACATCATTAACTTTTGAGTTTATTAATTATTGCTACTACTTTTTTGTTTTGTTTCACTTATTTCTACTGCAATTGGTTATTCTAATTGTTGAACATAAATGGGTAAATCACATCATGTAAACACGGTTGTTGACAAGGGTTATTCGATTGGATTTATGTTATTCGATTAATGTTATTGACAAAGATTTTTCTATTGACCGAGAAAATATCAATAATGATTTTCAAAGTCCAAAATATGAAACTTTCAAAAACTGATATTATATTGTATGTATACTTTTATTTTTATTTATTATTATTATTTTTTTATGTTCTAGGGATTTTACATAAGGACTCTGTATCTCAAGGACATTTGATGAACCCACATTTTCTGACATGGGTTATTCGATTAATGTTATTGAAGAATATTTTTCTATTGACCGAGAAAACATCAACAATGATTTTCAAAGTCCAAAATATGAAAATTTCAAAAACTGATATTATATTTTATGTATACTTTTATTTTTTTTTTAATGTTTGAGGGATTTTACATAAGGCCTCTGTAAAAATAAAAAACACTCATTGCTAGAAATATCTCTTAATCTTTTTCTCTTTTACTATTCAAATTCCTTTTATTTTCCTAGAAGATAATGTTATATTCCCACCCTTCTTCAATCAAATCCTAATTTTTTTCCTTTCAAAGTTCTCTCATTTTTTTTTTTTTTTTTTTTTATTTGTCTTCTTCTTACATTTTTTTTTGAAAGGTATCTTCTTAAAATTCTTCTTTTTACACTTATGTATCATATATGTACTATAAATTTTTTTTTTCTCTTATTATTATTATTTTTATATTATTCTTAATTAAATTTATTACTATAATTTTATAAACTCAACATATGCATTTTATAGTTTTCTTTACTATAATTTTTTTACGAATAATGACATATTATTTGAATGATGACTATTGCACACATTGCACTCCTATTTTTCAGATTACCAAAAAAAAAATTTGTCTTGTTAGTTAAAGGAAAAAAACCTTTACTTTATCATGTTTAATTGTTGAAATAAATTCATGTCTGGGTCACCATTCATATTGAGGCTATCCTGCATTGCTAAATTAATGGAGACTAATTAAATCAATGGAAATTAGTACTACAACCCCCTGAAATGGCAACACCCCCCCAACCCCCCCCCCCCCCCCATTATTATTATTTTTTTCCCCTCCCACCCAAAATGAAATTTCGACTGTGTCACTGCATATAAAAGATATATACATATTCTAAAACTCCAAAATCCACATTATGAAGCATGCAACTATATATCTATATATATATATATATATCTATCTCAATATACAAACCTGTAAATTTGTGATCCGATTTTTTTTTGGCCCATGTCCATTTGCAACCCGATTTTGATTCAATTATTGGACTTTGCCTCTGAATTTTGTTTTTTGTGTTAGTTTATTTTTTTTTATTAGATATACTGCACTCCCCTCTCACCCGAAATGAAATTTTGACTCCGTCACCGCACATAACTGTTTTATATGTACAAATTCTAGAACTCCACAACCCACATTATGAAGCATACAACTATATATATATATATATAAGTATCTCAATATACATCATACCTATAAATTTGTTATCCGAATTTTCTTTCGGCCAAGGACCCGCTGCAACCCAATTTTGATTCGATTATTGGACTTTGCCTTTGAAATTTTTTAACCCATTTTGCCTTGCATGTCATGGATCCGAATTGTAGTCTTTATTATATCCAAGTTTTGTAGAGTGGTATGAGAAAACGCCGAAGGACGAAATAGAGTGCGAGAAAGAAAAGTACAATTCTTTATTATATCCAGGTTTTGTAGTGTGGCATGAGAAAACGCCGAAGGACGAAATAGAGTGTGAGAAAGAAAAGCTTGGGGGCTTAAATGTTGTATTCTCCTTTCTTTTCATATAGTGAAATATTTTTGTCGATCTATGACATGAACTTAAATTTTTCATGTCCTTATTATTGTGTTTGTGGTTTGCCGTTGTTTGGCATGATACTTAAGTTTATCCTTGTTAATTGAAATCTCACAGGTGAAATTAGACTATCCTGGGGAGTACCTCATCTCAATATCAGGGTACTATGGATCCAATTCTAGTCGAAGCCTAGTTGTGAAATCTCTTACATTAAAAAGCAATATAAAGCAATATGGACCATATGGTAAAGAAGAAGGAACTCGTTTTATAACCCCGTTGGCTGCTGGCAAGATTGTTGGATTCTTTGGAAGGGAGGGTGATCGTTTGGAATCGATTGGAGTATACATTAAGCCATTCCAAACTGTAATACCTGTTGGTCCATTTGGAACTACTGCTGGACAGGAGTGGGATGATGGAACCTACAACACAATAAGGGAGTTAATTATACACTCCGGAGCGGTAATTGATTCCATCCAAGTTGTCTATGATGATATTGAAGGAAAGCCAATATCAGGAGAAAAACATGGTACTGACGGCGGACAACAAAACACGGTAATGTATATATATGTGATTTGAGTTTCAAATTTGTAAATCATGCACAAATTTAGTTGATTTTATTTTTGTCATGCCTTTCATGTTATGTGAACTAGCTAGATAAAGCGCATGATATCTACAAAAAATACAGTTCCAATGATCTGCCAAACGTACGTGGTACTAAATCTGGCACAAAAGCCATGGTTGGTTATAATTTTCCATTTATTACATTGTAATAATAACAAAAGTGTCCTTTTTTTGTTGAAGTTTTTAATAGGCAGCCTTTCATTTATGCCATGCATACTGACCTATTTTTTTTTACCAATATAACCTATGTAGGTCAAATTGGATTACCCAGATGAATTTTTGCTTTCAATTTGGGGGTACTATGGAACATTTGGTAACAAGGTTTGTATACGGTCGCTTGGATTTCAAAGCAACAAAAGAACAATTGGACCATTTGGCGTGGAGGAAGGAGAGAAGTTTCAATCCCCATCCACACGTGGCAAGATCATTGGATTCTATGGAAGGTTTGACCAGTTTCTTACTTCAATTGGAACATATCTCGACAAGTAAAGATAAATTTGGAGATGCAATGATTATGAGCCATCTTTTACTAGTCTTTTGATCATTAATAATTTAACTGCATTCGATGCAGTTAAAATAATGAATGTTTTGTGTTGTCCTTAAAGCTCGGCGAAAATGGTTAAGGCAACACAATTTGTCTCTGTGTGATTTCATCTAATTTTCATGTTTTCTTGTGTGCTAAGCTTGAAAGTTTCGGTTGGCCATGTATTTTGTGAAACTATGTCAATCCAATAATAAAATATCATATGTATCTCTTGTTGGTTGTGAAAAAATTATGCTCCCTATATGCATGCTTGTTGTAATATTTATTTTAATATGAACAATACTTAAGTCCTCATTAGTGAGAATCTACATTATATTCATTCATTGTTGATGTGGACCAATAATAAATGAATACAATCTATTTTAACTACCAAATCATAAATGATGATCAAATTACCATATCTGATTTGGTAAGTGAGTATATACCCCACCATATTTAATTTGATAATTAAAAATGACATGTTCATTTATTGTTGGTTCACATCAAGAGTGAGTATGGTATAGATCATCACTGGATACTGTATATTTACACTATTGATTAAGCATCTATAAATTTTTAAAAATTTACTCAATAAATAACAATTACACAATCATTAATACTTAAACTGCTATTTTCTACTTCTTTCTTATTAATATATTTTTTGCTATATATTAAGTATGTTCTTACTCCTTTCCAATCATGTCATTGTCTTTATCATGCTACCAACTAAAATAATAAATAATATTATTTGACGATAAAAAGCTAATGAGGTTGAAATCAACTGAAATGTTGGGAATAAATAGCAAACTTATAGTAAGAAATGTTGGGAATAAATAGAAAACTTATAGTAATAAATTTAATGCATGGGTAATTGTATTTTTTAGTTATGAGTTATGACTTCATAAGAAATGGAAAAAACTAAGTTTAATCCTTTTAATTATCTTAAATTACTAAGGCCATACTTGTCTCTCACAATTACTATTATAGAGAGAAATGGAAATTAAAGTAAATGGGTTTATTTACATCTCTAAAGATTTTTGTACTAATATATATATATATATATATAGTCTTTAACAGTGTACATATATAATCTGTGTGTGTATGAAATCGACAATTACCAGAGGGTGATATTCATAGTGGTTTTTTAGCCCTTCTATGTGATCTTGATTTTGCCGCAACCCGTCAAACAAATGCTGCTGGGATCATATGATACATTTCTCTCAAGATTTTGTCGTGTATTAATTATAAAATTATACAGGAACGTATACGTGCACAAAATTGTACCCCGAGTAAAAAAAACAAAAATGTAAATCTATATTTGTTTTTCTTGTTATACAAGCATGTTATGTTTTTCTTGGTGATTCTTTGCAATAAACTTTCAAATGGTGCTGATTTCTCTGATATGTAGTGCTGTAACATGGAATGATGAAAGCCAAGACATGCACTAAACATGCATGTGGTTTATGCGCATCTCATCCACCTATATATATTTTCTTAATTGGTACTCACATGCCTCTACTGAAACTTGAACTTCTGACCTTCTTTTGAAAAGTAAGCACCTAATACCGCTAGGTCACTACCCGTTGGTCTCATCCACCTATACTGGGGTCACAATGGCATGGTATTTGTGTTAGGAGATTTATTTGGGAAAGTCCCAACTATGGGATCATTTGGGATACAATATATGTGAGTTTGTGCAGCAGAAGATATTACGGAAAGTTTAAGTTTTTATCAAGAGAGATTAAATCATGTGTCTTTCTATTTAATTATCTTTACTTATTTTAGCAAATAATTAACCAATCATATGCAAAATAAAAGTAAGTAAAGTAAATAGAGTTTGCGAGACGACATTAGAATTTTTAGTGAGGAAATCCAATTGGTAGAATAGACTAATTGTTGTGGAAAAAATCAAAACGATCCACTACGTTTGAAATAAAGTACAATGGACTTTGACACAGGCTCACACCCTATCATTCTATCAAAAACCAATCGCTGACAATCTTTTGACTTTGCGACGTCCCGTCTGACAACTCTCGACTCCAGGCTTACTCTTGATCTCTGTAGAAGGATTGCTTAGATCAAATAACATACCTCGAATGATTTGACCCTTTCAAAGTGTTTCTGAACTTTGATGTATAAGAAATAGATCTACTTTTCTCTAATCATTGTCGATATAATATTCAATAAACTTTGAACACGATTAGGATTTGAACAATACCCTAAAATCACTTTTGTGCTTATGTGTGTGTTCAAGAAATAAAAACAGAAAAATCATATTTGATTTTCTTCAAAATATCTTTCAAATAGGCTTTTAAAGAATCAGAAGTTTTAATGTAAAAGTCGTATCAACCTAGATGTAAATCAAGGTTTATATAGACTATTCAAAGACTTAGATATGCATAGGAAAATGTAAATTTTGTGCATAAGACTTTTGGAAAGAAATCTATACGAAATAGGAAGTATAGACAGAACAAGAAACAAATTACCTTAACTATATCAGCTTCTTGAACCAGTAGCCAATGTAGAACTGGTTCCCAAATGACAGAATGTTAATATTCGAAGCTATGGTTCTTGAACCGGTAGAAGAAGTTGGTACTGGTTCCCAAAGGACAATTTCAAATGAAATTTTTTAAAACTTTAGAAAAAATTATGTTCTGGTAACTTTGAATAACATACCATGTATGTATAGTATCCTAACTGGCATCAACTTCTGAAATTAATGTTATTCATACCTTTTTCATTCTCTCACTTTATCGATCAAACATGAACAACTACTTCAATTTCGTAGACGATCTCGGTTTTGATTAGGTAACTTGAAAATTACAATTCGATCAGACTTATTTTGACACAAAAATTAACCAATTACAAAAATTATATCTCATAATATATGTCAAGCTCATTTCTTCATCAAAGATCTATGTAGTTGCAGTTCCCTAAAAGGACAAACAAGTGATTTAATGTTCACTGGAATTTGGTTCCAAAATTAAATGAAGTTGCATTTTGTACAAAACCATATTGTACCAAATCATTCCAAGAAAATAAATCTACCGGAGAATTATAGATATTGTTGTTTGGATAGAAAAGTTCTAGTTTTCAAAAATAAAATAAAGCAAATCCCAAATCAGCTAAAATTAGTGACCTACATATTCATCATTGTCACGCACCAAAAATTTGAATAATTAAAATACACGATATAACTTATAACACACGGGTGTGAACTATAAATCACCTTTTGTAATAAATATATGTATATATATATTTCTGTAGAGAGGGTAATAATGAGTGAGAGCTTAGAGAGAGAAAGTGAGAGAGAGAAAGTGGAAAAGCCTTTTATTAAGCTATATGTACACAGCATCAGAAGACATGGCCTTTTATAGGCTCCAAAATCTGGATTCTTCAATATGTGTGTCTTGCGTGCTCTTTTCGGTTCGGATCTCAAGCTGTTGAGTAAGCGTCCTCCTACACCAACCAAAAGATGTCCTTATTGATGACATCATCAATTATTTTAATTACATGTAGACCCCACACAAAACATGTACATACATATATAACACCTTTCCAACTGTACGTTACTTAAATCAACATGAGATTACATAAAGTCCTCAAAATAAAAATCTGTCTACAACTACGAAAATAGAAACTCTGAATTGCTCTGGTATACAATGCGCACTCTACAACCATTAAGTACCTGAAATGTTAAAAATGGAGTGAGCTCAAAAGCTCATCAAAATCATTGCTCAACAAGCAATAAGCTTACCTCACCTCAAGGTATACAATAGAAAATATATCTATCTAAATAAATAAATTTCACTTTCACTACTCATTTAAAGGGATCAAATTCCAACTCCAACTGTTTCACTGTAAACAGACTTGAAATATCCTTGGCCGGACGCTTGTTTTCATAATACTGGCTTATGAATCTGTCGCATAGGTTCTGGAAACTCTCCACCGAGCCTTTCGCCAAGTTTTTGAACTAATTGAGCGTCGGTCAGGTTAGGCTCGTCAAAAAAACCTTGCACATTAGAGGATCATTTTTCTGTATTTAGAGCCATTTTCAGCTAAATATGATAAACATGCTCGATCGGATTGCTCGTTCCATTGAAAAAAGTAAAAACTAGCATGGAGAATATTCTTAGATTTGGAGCATTCAGGATCTCGTCTGTAAACGGCAAACCTACAGTTTACGCTACAGAATAAAGTGCTTCATTCTCTTTCAGGAGTATCTTTTGCTCAACAGATCTCTTGCCTGAACTTCTGTAGTCATACGTGGCCATTGACAAATAGTAAAGCAGATCGAATGACCTTTCTTCCGTTAACTCCCTCTGCCATGATGACGTAGCCTTATTACGACCAAACTCCATGGCTTCTTCTTGCCTAAACTTTTCGTGATACGAATCAAACGCCATGGCCCTTTTTCGCCTGATCCTTACGCGGTGCGGATCGATCTCCATGGCTTCTCGCCTGATCCTTTCACGGTGTGGATCAATCTCCATGGCTTCTTCTCACCTGATTCGTTTGTGATGTGGATCCAAATGGACATATCCTTTTCAATCATCCACATAATGGATATTTAGCGAAAAATCCTCTGGCCTGGTCTCTTCATGACGAAGATCCTAGTGAACGTTTCCTTCTTGTTCGCCCTGGTGAGCAACATTTGGTTGCAGAACTCTCTCTCCTACCGGAGGCAGTCGTGGAATAACCAGAACTTCTCGACGCTCCATTCCGGTTCTTAATTCTGCATTCTCTCTTATTAGAGCTTTAATCATGCTCATCAATTCTTCAAGCTTTGTGTGTCGTTCATTTTCCTGTGGATAAGAACTCTCATCTCATTTCATCTTTCCTATGATGGAAACAGAGTAATCAACTGAGAATTCTTGATCGGAGTGGTGGAGATTATTGCCGTCGCCGACACTAGGAGTAAAACCTCAAATATATACGAGTAAATATATATATATATATATATATA